TTAGATTTTCGTATATTTTGAGATAAAAAATAAAATGTATATTTGTCCATACAAAAATTTTTTTTTCTCTGAATCTATCAACTTTTCAAGAAATCATACAAGAATAAAAGTTGTTAGGAATGTTATTATATATCACATAAAAAAAATTTGCTCGATACTCCACAAGTTATTCCTATGTCCAAGAATTATCAATTTGGGCCCACTGTGTGGCGTTCCGATATGACCCTTTGGGACCAATGCAATACCTGCGATATTTAATGCGATATCATACTTCTTGGAATTACAAATAAAATTAAAAAATATTATTTCGCACGTTCGGTGTTCTCAGCCTAAAATCACCGTAGCCATTGTTTTTTCTCGCTTCTTACACCCAGTAACATTGAAATATGAATAATTTTAAGCTAAACTATCAATATGTCTAAATGGCATTAGAATCATCGATACTATATAAGTATCGATGATTAGAATAGACAAAGTAGTGTTCTAGTTATTATTTAGAGGATGGAAACGTTGCGAGTTGCGATTGTTTTTTTTTTACAATGTATTTGTATACGACTCCAGGTGCATATCCATTTTGAGGTAAAATATAGCGCCATCTAGTTGACGTGTTTGTTATCACTAGAAGCAGATTTGATAAAATTCAATGTGTCAATGTAAAATAACGTTACAAAATAGCTATTTGGTAATCGTCGCGACATCTAGTGTACCAATAGGTACTAAATACCCGGCTACGCTATCTTGTATGACGATTAGCAGTCCTCTTGAGTTATTGGTCCATGGTAAAAGCATATTACCTTTAAGCTAATTTTATTTAACCAAAAGTTGGTAGGTCAATGACCAAAATGAAAAAAGTTAATACACTAAACACTACCTAAGATGATTTTATTTAGCCTTGGCAACTTGTTAGACAAGAACCAGACCACTACTTCGAGCTATCTCACGTAGCTCGGTTTTTCTTTTATTTAAAATAAACCTTAACGTAACCCAATAAGATGTAAGTTTGTAATATTGGTATATCGAAGTGCGCGATCCAGTTTATGAAATATATAAATCCGTGGTCAATTTCAATAGTAAAATCTAATGACTAAAATCTAATAAATTCCGTAGTTTTAAAAGTGGTTACATAATAATGATAAAATCACAAACGTTGTTTAAAATAAAGCAAATGCTTTGTAATAACTTTTACATAAATAATATGGATAAATATTATAAAACACCGAGTGTATTTTTTAACTCTGGTTGTTTACTTTTTTCTGAAATAAAAGTAAACTTTAAAAAAATCCATGACATGATTACTTACTACATATTTTTGAACACAACACAAAGTAGATACTTGGTTTTGGAATATCTAATATTATGTATATTATATATATCTAATATTATTATATATATTACATATATTCCAAAATTAACGAACGTTTACATTTTATCTATTGTGCGTTCGCAGCCATACACTGATCACAAGAAATTTTCCCCATGGCGGTATATACGAACCATATAGGTCATATACATACATCTTCCACCCATACCCGAAATTATGGATTGTTTTTTTCTTACGAAGATACGCACGAAAATTTGCCATTAACTTCTTCGCTTTCAACTCATTGACTGGAAATTTTATAATGTTAATACGGTTCCATGCATCGTTAACTTTGTGTGGGTTGGATGTTTTGGATTTCAAATAAGTTCTTCGGTTTCATACATATGGTTCTAGAAAATACAAGACCCGCGCGTTACTCTAATCCATTTTGTACCTACGTATTATCGCTAGCAGCTTATTTATATATAAAATACTCTTCTGTGGTTTATCTAAAGCGGGACGAATAAGGAAATGGTGGTGAATCTTCATTGATCCCACGGCGCCGACTCAACCGGCGAGAGGGAATCCCGGGGGGGTTTTAGTGGGGTAGGCCCTCCAGTCTGGAGGGAGAGTCCCCACATAACCCCTGAGTCTCCCTGGGCTCAGGGGTATCCATAAAGATTCCCCCCCGTCAAAAAAAAAAAAAAAAAAGGCTTTTGAAGTTACAACTACAGTCTTTACACAGATTATTAATTTATTTATTTATTATTTTATTTTAAGTATATTATGAAGAAAAAAAACGAAAAAAGAAATAGCGATGAAGAAAGTTAGAACTATATTCGTTAACTGAAACCAAATTACAAAAGACTTTATCCTGGAAATTCCACTAAACACGAATTCAAAGTTTTTGTTCAAAGTGATAAAAGATAATGTGATCTATGTGAAAGTGAAAACATAAATATTGACTACCGCCGCTTAAAAGACTATGTAAAAAAACCGAATAAGTGAACTAAGTTATTTAACAGAAATAGAAAACAATCGATTAGAACTACAATGGAATATTACTGAGTATCCGATAATTAAAGGAAGACATGGCTCAAAGGACTTGTATCTAAGTCAAAACCATTAATAAAAAAAGCTACTTTTTTAATTGGTTTTCACGGCTCTGGGTACTTTGCCCGTTAAGCCAATAGTCAAAATAATCAGTTTCATAACGAAAATACAACACTTAGAAAGTAAAACTAAAACCCTTTAAAATGTCGTTCACAGTGTTAGATATAAAGTTACATAATGGTATAAACAAGTTTTTACTTGACAGTAACGATTGAACGTTTTTTGGAATATCACTGTCGTCTACACAAAGGTCCTTGATTTCTGCCACAAGTATTAGACGATGAAAACGGTATTGAACACAGGTGAAAATAATATGTTTTAAGTCGATTGTTTCTTCGGTACAATGAGGACATTTAACATTTTGAAGGATTCCCAATCTCTTTAGGTGAGCAGGAATTCTTCAGTGGCCAAATCTCATTCTATTGATGGCAGTTATCTGCTTCCGTGAGTCTAGATTCGTTTTATTCCACCAAGGTTGAGCGGGCGGGCTCATTTGTAGGCTGGTGTACCACTTTGCTTTTATTTCAGTCGCTTTCCTCCAATATTCTATCCATAAGGAATTCAGTGACAACATAAACTGGGCGTGAAAGTCAGTGTAAGGTACTTTCAAACAAAAGGAATGTTCTTCATCTGCTGTTCTTCGTGCAGCTCCATCAGCTTGTTCATTCCCAGTAATACCAGAATGTGAAGGTACCCGCCTTATATGTTATATTTTTACCTCTACTATACATGTCATGTAGCAATTGTTTTACATTATATACTATATAACACAAATTATAATTATATTGTTTGTTATTGAGTGCAGCCAATACACTTTGAGAATCAGTAAAGATAATTATATTAACAACTTCGAGAATATTTACATAAAGTAATGCTTGGAAAATAGCATAACACTCCGCTGTGAAAAATACTACAATAGTTGTTAATCTTGAAGCATTTAGATAATTTAACCTGTGGGTCATAAAATGCCGAAGTTGCAGTATCTTCACTCTTTGAACCATCTGTATACATAGTGTATAGAGACTTGTTTTCAAGAAATTGTAGTAGCTCACGTTGGTTGTCAACTTTTTGATTATGTAGTGTTGCCACGTTGCCCAAGGAGGAAGTAGTTAAACTTTAAGTAAAAAAGTTGCTAGATTCCAAGAAATTAATTCTGGTGGCTGAACAAATACATAATTATGGGATTACGTTTTTAAATACATATTTTTCTTAATTTTACAATTCATAAATCGAAAAAATTATTATCATCAATATCAATCAAATCATTATCATCTTGTAATATTGAAGGTTAAGCTTTATTTTGATTTTTTCCAATTTTTTACTTTTCTTACTAAAAGAGCTAAAAGATTTAACTATCATATATTTTGTTTTGTACCTAATAATTTCGTAAATCAGAATAAATCTATATAGCTAAAAACTGACTACAGTGGCAACACTGCGAATAACTGTTTATAATGGGCTCTGGGCCTTTTGGAGGGAAAAGTGTCGTTTTTATTTTGACTTTCAATTATTTTGTGAAATCTAGTTTAAAGTGGAATAGGATAGTGCTATTGTGCCTTAATCGAAGATTAATACGCGAAATAAACGCGTTCTAAGGAATCCCGAGTCAATCCAAACACGCCGCCTCAACTTGCCTATCCTCTTTGTGGCGGCCATATTTACAGAAACAATTAAACGAATTTATGTTTTCGGCTGAAGGTCTTTGTTTCCATGGCCAGCAATAAATTAAAAAAAAACTGTTTATAATGCATTGCCTCAGTTCATAAGGGACAATGTTATTAAAATTTAAATTATTATTTATCCACTTAACATTATTTTCAGCTATTACCATCTCATTTCCATTTCATAATTTCCATCCTTCATTGTTTAGATTTACCTATAATATAGTACCTACCCTATCTTGTTAATCACCGTACCAAAATTCCGTTTGCTTTTATTTCTATTCCGAGATTTCCTTTCCATGTTTTTAAATTCCTATTAATATCCAAAACCCTCATCAAAGTTCCGCAACAACAACAACTGCGGCGACAATGATATCCTGAAATCTCAAGAAGGAAGAAAGTATTGGAAGAATTATCAAGAATTGGGGAAGCGAAGCTAGATACGAGGGGCTACGCGAAGTTACTTTTTTTTCTTATTTCCTGGCACTATGGCGCCCAGCCTTTGGCATATGCAATTTCGATTGAGTTGCCAATTTTTGATAATTCTTCCTTCTTTGGACTTCATGTAGTTACTTAATTTGAATTTGTTCTAATACTAAGCCTTTGTTTTGTTAATATGGTTTCGACTGAAAGACTTTGTCTCCAGGTCATGCAATAAATTAAAAAAATAATATTTGTATTCATGTTCACAAATCATTTTATGTTTACGATTGCGTTTTGGTGCTTGTCCTTCAGATTTCAACTGCTATAGCCGAATTACAGCTTTATAGAGTTTGGTGCAAAGTTTTAGAGACAATAGATTGTCAAATCATTGAATTAATTAATATATAAGAGCTCGTGTTCAACTGTAGAATGCCTACTTGGAACCAAATACAGTCTCAGCTGAGGAACCCAAACAACCCGGTCGTTTTCTTTGATATCACTGTAGGGACCACAGTAAGTTTAGTGTTTTGTGAATTCTAGGCTAAATATTTGATAACTACGTACCCTTATTATAAAATTTGTACAGGGTTTTGCCGGTTGTTATGTTATCTTAACTGTTTACATACATTGCTGTACACAGTAAGTGCAAGTAAATTTTATGCTTTCAGGAAATAGGCCGTATGATATTTGAGTTGTTTGCTGACACAGTGCCAAAGACTAGCGAGAACTTTAGAGAATTCTGCACTGGAGAATATAGAAGAGATGGTGTTCCATTAGGTTACAAGGGAGCAACATTTCACAGAGTTATAAAGGATTTCATGATTCAAGGCGGAGATTTCGTTAATGTGAGTAAAGAAATGAGACCAGTTAATCAAAAGTACTTACTATAAATCTAAAAATGTGCAATGAAAGTTTTAACTCTTAATCCGCAAGTGAATGAATGAATCTGTGGTAACTGCAAATTAAGAGTTAATTCAAGTGCTAATGCTTTTCTGTTATCAAAGTACCTAGGACTAATAACTTTCTTTTTAATATTATAGGGTGATGGGACTGGTGTGATGAGCATCTACGGTGGCAGCACATTTGCAGATGAAAATTTCACATTAAAACATGATTCACCAGGTCTGCTGTCTATGGCCAACAGTGGCAAAGACACCAATGGTTGTCAGTTTTTCATCACCTGTGCTAAGTGCAACTTTTTAGATAATAAGCATGTAGTGTTCGGAAGAGTTATTGATGGACTACTTGTCATGAGGAAAATAGAAAACGTACCAACTGGCCCTAACAACAAACCGAAAATACCAGTAACAATATCACAATGTGGGCAAATGTAAATAAACATGTGTAATAATACTTGACACTTTCTTCTAATTGTTAAAATAAACACTGAAGCCCAGCTTCCCTGCAGTTTTCATTGGATTAAATAACTCATTAACAATAAATAACATACACAAAATTATCACAATACAAATACATACTGTATGATAACTGTAATAAATTGGAGCTAAACCATTTTACTTTTGTCAACTTTTTGCCTGTGCCTGATTATTAACTAGTAAATTCTTCGGTTGCATTGTGGCTGGACCGTTGCGTCGACCTGCTTCTCTTATAAACGCGCTTTCCATTTGTCGAGCTACTTGATCAAAGAACAAGTTAGATATATGAGAATGGAAGGTAGAGCGAAATTCAAATGTTATTTGAAAATCTACAACACATGACTGCTGCTCCCTCTTAAGGCCAGGACTGAATCTCCAAAGAGTGAGCATATGGTGGAAAAGTTTGCCTTCTGTGCATTCAGCTTTCACCTGGTGTGGTCTTATGAAAGTCACTTTGGAAGTGTAACTTTCATTGATTGGTGGGAATCCAACCACCAAATCTGCTTTTAGGAAACCTTTCCCTCTTTCTTTTACTAAAGACAACTTGCACCATGGAACAAACTTATAGTAACTGTCCACATCAGACACCACTTCAAACATCTGTTCCATTGTATACCTGCAAATAAATAAAGCTCTTTAATTTCAGTGTTTAATCTGTAACTAACAATGAATACTTCATTATAGGATATGTGTTTATTATGTCACACTTGTCTAAATTATTTTATACCGGGATTTAGATTAAACCAATTCGAGTTAACCTTTGACAATTCAGTGAATTTTCTGCCAAGGAACAAATTATGCAAATTATATCATTGGTGTCAATATGAATGTGACTTGATACATTAAAAGGATAATGGAGCTCAGCACACTGTGATGCCTACAATAAAAATTTCACATAAATTTAATTAAACCAGAAGCACATCCCGGACTCTCCATACAACAGGCGAGAATCATTTACCTACTATTACTATTTTATTATATATTTTTATTTTTATATATATTATATATTTTTATTATATACTATTATATTTTTCGTCAATTCACTAACTAGAGTAATATTGAAGATTTATTTCAAAAATATATTAAAACCACTTAAAATGCTATATTTTGGACATGTAATTTTATATAAGGTAACCAAGGTATATGAAACTATACCTACCTACATTATATTTATCGGCAATATGAATTGAAAATTTGAGAATCCTTGTCTACTAGCTATGGCGACTCATTATATTGGTATAATAAATCTGCATTTTTTATACATATATTGCTTTGCACTAAAGAAATGGAGAAAACAACTTCGTTTCATATTTCAGAAAATTATGATAAACAGCCATACATAGCTCAATTCACGACCATTACAAATAGTAACAATAAAATTATGTTATATATTAATTTACAAGTTTGGTAATGAATAATTTAAAACTTTATTCAAATATCAAAGCCGTCTTCGAGCGAAAATAGCTCGCCTGCAGTCTAATAAGACTGAATGTATACACACATTCAGTCAATGTGACCATCAATGTGCAGGGCGTGGTATGGTATCTAAAGCTAGGGAGGGATTTTCTCTGCCAGAAAATGAATTTGTGGATAGGTTAAAGCCATAATGGCCATGGCAGTGGTAACTGAGTTGAGAGAAGACACGCTTACTAATATGAACGTCCAACAGGATGAACCCAGCATGTTAGAGAAAGTTCACAATGTAGTCAATTACAGCCTAAACAAAACCCTTTTTTTTGTCAGCAGTTTAACATATACATATATGTGTTAATGATGCACAATGTAATAAAAGTACAAAGCTATGAAATTTATGGAGTTTTATTTAGAATATTGGTAATTAGGGTCTAAAATGGCATGTGATCTTAAATATGAAATATACTATGTGGTTCTTACCCCACCAGTTGTCTTCCAGCATAAACTCTGGTTCGATTTTCTTTTGGGAAACTTAGAAATGTGCGTCTCTGTTCTGTATTGTGACATTGGCATTGAGTAGTATCTTTATGCCTATTTACGTAATGACCCTGAAATCTATACGAAGAACAATTATAGCACGCAAAAGTGAATTATGTTCTTTATTACATTTATCTTAAATTGGTCATTTGAAAACTATATAGGCATTTGTAATCAAAGTAAGTATGTTAAAATATTTACGTACTTTGTGATATCCAGTCGTGGCACAAGGATTCTTGTAGTTAAAAAACCCAAACTTTTCACAGAGCTCATGTCGTTATTCTAGTGACTAGACTAACCTATCTTTCTTGAATATTGAAGGGGAAGTACATCGTCACAAAAGAATTTAATTTCTAGATTTAGGACGTGTTGAATCCGTTCACAAAGTAGGTACTAATTTAATTTGAATAGGGAGGGATGGGCGTTACAAATCGTATATTGATGACTATATGTCATTGAATCTATATATTATGGCAATATCGTGTATTTTAGAAACTGTATATCGATATTGCTCCGCATCGCGTATTTTATGTAGCGATGCCGAATCAAGCCGAGCGATTACCGAGTGCACGAAATCGTATAAGCGAAACTATATACCGATATTGCTTCGTATCAAATATTCACTGACGAATATCAGTAACAGGGATGTATCAACGCAGCGCGCCGGCTGCATCCATGAATATATAGTTTCAAATATCGATATATAGTTTCGATACGATAATGAATTCAGAAAAAGCTATACTACCCATACCTAATTTAAATTATATGACAAATTCCGAGCACCAAGACAGATTTTTTTTCTGTAGTTTTAATTTTAACGGCTATAGCATACAGCAATACAGCCTATCCTTAATTTATTTCACTTATCATTTAGCCTGACGAAGTCACTTGAAACGATTCATTTCAAGTGCGCTGAAAACTTGCCATGTCCAAATTGCAATATGTTCATCGTTGTAATGAATTTTCTTGAGATTGACTTTAATTTGAAATAAAAACGCTTTATAGCTTACAATAATTGACTTACAAATAAATGGACGACGGGTCTAATACAAAAATCACGAAAACCACGAAAAAAAAAAGTCAACCTATTTAAACGTAGTGACATGTAAAGGAATATGAAAAAGCTAAAACGTTGAATTTAAATTTGTAATGTCATCAAAGTACTGTCTAATTTTGCTTGCTTCGCTGTCAGTCGAATAAACGACGACTAAAGCGTGAATGACGCTCTGTATACGATTTTAACACCCTATAAGTTCGGACATTTTTTAGCGCGAACCTGACGTCCATATAATTGTAAGTCAATGCTTACAATGCATTCTTTTTGGCTTTGAGCGTACGAATTTTCTTTAAAAACTTTGGTACTACTTTATTCGTATCTAAAATATTGTATAATGGGCGTTTACAACTACCCGTCACTACCACTGGGGTTGCCACTACTACGTCGCATCCTGTTATTCAACTACAACGCCTTGCGACGCGCGTCGACGCGTCGACGACACTCGCATTATTGCGCCTGGATCACAGTGTGCGGCGTCTGACACCTCACTGCGCTCAAGTAACGCGCGAAGCCAGTTCGGCTGCAACCAAGCGTCGACGTTTGACTCCATATTTGCATAACACAAACTTGTACCTTAATAATTAGACAGTAATTAAATTTGTATTAAATTAATATACAATTATTTTTTATGGAATTGCTCCACTAGGTTGTTATAATTATTAATAAAAAGATCGGACACTAAAAATTATAACGGTTTTTGTAAAAACAAACAAACACTTTTTCAAAGGAAAAAATAAAATAACGAATTTTCTGTAGTAATCAAATTTTTATTAGCTCGATCAGGGGCTCTGATCGTACGCACGCGCACATTTCCATATTGTGTATGCTTAGTGATAATGGCGACGCCAGAAATTGACAAATTATTTTTTTAAACAAAACATCTTTGAATTTAAAGTCACTAACTAACTTTTGTGGCCCATCTATGCCGCCTCTGCTGAGGCCGGACAGCACGCTGGCCTATACTGCAGAAGCCAAGGCAAATCTGTTTTGCCTCACTCTTAGCAATTATCTCAGGCTGGCTGCACTATGGCGCCAATTCGCATACGCCAAAAAGAGGCACTTAGAACTCTGCGGAATCTAGACGTAAATAAAGCTAGCGGGCCAAATGGAATTCTAGCACTAGTCCTACGTAACTGTGCGCCTGAATTGTCTCCTGTTCTCACACGCCTACTCCAGTACCGCCTCTCACTTGAGACTGGTGTAGTTCCCAGGTCGTGGAACCTTGCAAACGTGCAACTTATGCCGAAAAAGGGAAACAGAGCTAACTCTGTCAACTATAGACCTATCACAGTCACTTCTACACTCCATTGCAAGATTATAGAACATGTAATCAACAACCGTCTCCTGTTGTACCTTGAAGACAATGACCTCCTCAGTGATCGCCAGTACGGATTCCGACAAGGGCGATCTTCTTGTAAATGCCTGTCACATAGACAGCGAGGCTATAGAAAAACAAGATGAAGCACTTGAAGTGTCTTTGGATATTTCTAAAGCCTTTGACAGGGTCTGGCACGCAAGCCTTTTAAGTAAGCTTCCCTCTTATGGGCTTCCCACTGACCTTTGCAATTTTATCTCGGATTTCTTGAGCGAATGTTCGATTCGAGTGGTCTTAGAAGACTACTCTTCCAACATATGGCGATAGATTCCTCAAGGTTCCGTACTGTCTGCAACTCTCTTTGTCTGCTGAACAATGATATGTTCATTCCAGGTACCTTTGCGTATGCTGATGACAACACAGTTGTAGATAGGTACTTGAACAATGCAAGGGTCAGTGGTGTGGAAATCCAGTCTCGTCGAGACTCCATGGTTAGCCGTTTGGATTTGACACTCAAGGCAGTCTCCGATTGAGGCGATGCTAATCTTGTAAAATTTAACGCTACCAAAACGCTGCCGTATCTATTCTCCACAAAACGGAGTCCCTTTGAGCTGATTCCGACTTTTCTTGATATATCCATACCGATGTTGACTGTCTCTACCTACTTGGAATGAACCTATCGTCCAATTTTCACTTCGGCAGATACATTGAATCCATGGCCAAACATGCAGCAAAGAAGCTTGGGATTCTTTCTAGGGTGAGGCGTTACTTCACACCGGGACAATTGCTTCAGCTGTACCAAGCACAAGTCCGGTCATGCATGGAGTATTGCTGCCACCTTTAGGATGGCTCTGCTATTTGCCAACTGGCCACCTTGGATTCAATTGACAACCGTGCCAAGAAGCTTATAGGTGACTCGGAATTAGTGGAGGCGAAACTGCAAAGCCTTGGACACCGCCGTAAAGTTGCCAGCTTATCGGTATTTTACAGGATACATCACGGAGAGTGTGCGTTAGAATTACGCGATTTAATTCCGTTTTCATCTTTCATCACCGGGGGACTAGGCGTAGGCTTGGGTTCCACCTCTATGTTGTGGATATTCCAAGATTCGCACGAAGCGTTACGCTTCCACATTTATATGGCGAACGGCTATGGAATGGGATTCTCTGCCTGCAGACTTGTTCCCTGAACGTTATAACTTGGGCCTTTTCATGGCGAAAGTGAATAGGCATTCATCCGTCGTCGATCTCATCGTCACTTTCCGTCAGGTGAGATAGAGGTCAAATGCGAACTTACATTTTATAAAAAAAAAGTTTTATCTTAGAAAAGTCGTTTTATGGCGGCGCCATTTTCACATACACAATACGAAAGCGTGCACGTGCGTACGATCGGAGCGCCTGATCGAACTGAACGGCGAGCGGATTGCATTTGTTGGAGGCGGTGGCGCGAGGAAAACCGCGGCGGCGGCGGCGCGACGGCGCGGCGCTCATATCTAATTCGAACCGACGTCTTCTAACAAACCGTGTAACAAGACGCTGTGCCAACTGTGCTTGTTTGAAAATCTGCGTAATTCTCATTGTTCAAAGAAAAAAAACAACTTGGTGCCAAAATCTCGACCGTTAGCAAAATGCAAATGCGTTATTTATGCCAGGGGGTAAAATTACCCCCGGACAGGGTATGGACGAGTGATGCCAGCACTCCACCACAAAATACTGCAGGGCAACCTCAACGACTGCGCCAGGGCACAAGACCTATTGGTCCAGGTCACGGCGGAGTGGGGGGTTGCGGTGGCGGGTGTGGCGGAGTCATACTTTGTCCACCCACGGGGAAACTGGGCGGGGGATCGGGAGGAGACGGTGGCCATAGTGACGTCGACTGCCGGGAACTCCCCCATCTAGTGGTGAAGGAGCGCGGGTCAGGGCTCTTGGCAGCGAAGTGGGGAGAAGTCACCCTAATTGGGGGTACTTCTCCCCAAATGGCCCAATTCCAGGCGTTCCTGGAGACCCTAGAGAGGGCGGTGTGGAGGGCTGCTCCGGCGCCGGTGTTGGTGATGGGGGACCTCAACGCCAAGAGATCTGCGTGGGGTTCCCCGGTCAGCAATGCCAGGGGGCCAGAGTTGGAGAATTAGGGCGGCAGCCTTAGGGCTAGCCATCCTCAACCGGGGCCATGCCAACACGTTCGTTCGGCGAAATGGGGGGTCAATGTGGTGGACGTCACGTTTGCGACCCCCTCACTAGCGGTGCGAGTATCCGGTTGGCAGGTCCTAGAGGACGAGGAGACCCTCTACGATCATAAATACATACGGATCGCCTCCAGTCTGAGGGGGACAGGCCCAGACATGTGTCCCAGCGGCCGTACAGGTTCAGGGCTGGACTCTCCACCTTGGACGCCCTGGAGTCGCTGCGGCACATCTTGGAGGATGCTAACGGCGAGAGGGAGGGTGTAGTGGCTGTGTCTCTGGATATAGCCAACGCCTTCGCACTCTCCCCGTTGCCGTTATCAGGGAGGCGCTGAGGTATCACGAGATCCCCAGATATCTCAGTCGTCTGGTGGAGCACTACCTGGAAGACAGGTTGGTACTCTTCCAGGCGAGGGAAGGGAGGCGCGCCGGGCGCCCAATGAGGTGCGGAGTACCCCAGGGGTCCATGATAGGACCACTACTGTGTAACCTGGGGTACGATTGGATGCTGAGAGGCGCGCTTCTCCCCCGGACGGCGGTCATCGCGACCACCTTCCAGGAGGCGGCCCGAAAAGCCTCAATAGCGGCGGACATGGTGGTCCGCCGAATGCAACTGCTGGGGCTGGAGGTCGCCGTGCCGAAGACAGACGTGGCCGTCTTCGGCGGGAGAGGCAGAGGTTGGGTGGTGCCGGCAGGCGCCCACATTTCCATCGCGGGAGTATCGGTCCCGGTCAGGTCCCAGATGCAACCTGGGCCTTGTCCTGGACCGGCGATGGAACTTCGGGGAGCATTTCCGGCAACTTGCTCTCCGAATAGTGGGCGCCGTATCGGCGTTGGGTCGGCTCCTGCCCAATCTCGGGAGGCCGAGAGCCCCATGTAGAAGGGTGGCCTTATACGGGGCTCCCATTTGGAGTGGGACCTTAGCAGCGGCAACGAAATCGCTGCTAAGGTGGCCTCAGAGGGTGGTCGCCCTGCGAATGTTGAGGGCGTACATGACGGTGGCCTGCGCTGCCGCATGCGTCCTCGCCGGTACTCCGCCGTGAGACGTTGAAGTCGAGGTCCTGGCGGAGATCCACGCCTACCAGCGGGGAATGGGGGACTGAGGCGAGCGCCCTGCTCCCTGAGGTCGAGCGTCAACGCCGCCTCGCGGCGCAGCGCATGCGGGACCGGTGGAAAGAGGGCTTGGCGGATCCCCCCTATGGAGCTCGTACCATAGGGGCGATCCGTCGCCACTCTCGTACCACCTTGTGCAGGTGCTGATCGGGCATGGCTGCTTCGGTCACTACCTACACAAGGTAGCGAGGAGGGAACCGTCCCCGTCGTGCCAGGAGTGCGGCGCTGCGGATGGCACCGCGCAGCGCACCCTAGAGGTGTGCAGCCGTTGGAATGAGCAGCGCCGTACCCTGACGGGGACAATAGGGCAGGACCTCTCGCTGCTGAGCGTGGTTGCCGCCATGCTCGGTCTCGAGGAGTCCTGGGAGGCGGTGGCCTCCTTTTGCGGAGAGGTTATGTGCGCGTCCGCTGCGTCCTCGCTCCCGCTCGGCGCAGACGTACGGGGAGAAGCAGAAGGCATTTCGCTGCTTGCCTGATCCCGTAGTGAGGCCAGCGGGCTTTGGACAGGGACTCCGGAGCCTGCATTGCACGGCCTCACTCGTCAGGGGGCGGCTCGGAGGACAACTGACTTGTCCCTCCGTTGACGCGGGAGCCTTGGCGCAAGCTAAGGCGGCCGGGCGGCGTCGTGGTGTAAGTACGTATCAAGACCTATTTCAAGCCCCTAAGGATGATTTCTCAGTTCCTGAGACCCGTGAAATGTAACATCCCCTTACAGGATGCAGGAGTTTACAAGCTTGACTGTGAGTGCGGTCTCTCTTACATTGGACAAACAAAGCGAAGTATTTGTACCCGCGTCAAAGAACATATAGCTGATGTCAAACACCTTCGCGTAAACAAGTCTGCAGTCTGCGAGCATGTCATGGATAAACCTACACATTCAATGAAGTTTGACAAACCCCAGGTTCTTGCAAAAGAAGTCCGTTATCTACCCAGGATGCTGCGAGAGGCCATTGAAATTAAAAAACATCCAAATTTCAACAGGGAAGATGGTTTCTCCGTACCACCAGTTTGGAATCCAATATTTCCTCTAATGAAAAATCCCAAACAGACATAAGACACAGTACTAATTAATATGATTTAGTTTATTCTAATTTCTATTAATAATTAATAACAAATTGAACTTAATAAAAATTCATTCAATAAAATAATTTGTAAAACTTAATATAGCGTAAATTGGAATGTTTTCTTTGTAAAATTAAAAATAAGGTATTTAATTAATAACTATTGTAACTATAGTGAAAAAATAGGGTGGTTTGCATCAATATTAGACATAACTGGTTGAAGACTGTACCATCTCAGTCAACCGTGACCATGGGACCTGTAAAGGGCCCAAAACGTCGGTTTGTTTGAAAAAACAAATATACGCGATTTAAATCCGGAAAAATAGTTTCATTTCGTATTTGCTAGGAATGTTACTTTTCTATGTAAGTATTTTGTGGTTTACATTTCAATAGGAAAGTAGCATTTAAAAATGATGAAATGGAATTATTATATTGTAATATTTTAAATTATGTGCAGCTTAGTAACAATATAACATGAAAAGTTTGTACAGTCACTTATTAATATGTAGCACTTCTTAATCTTGCAAGTGTTACATTTTTTTATAATTTCAAGTGACGGGACGAACAAGACGAACAAGGATCAATTCGGGGAAGTGCCGAGTGCCATTCCTTTGTCGCAGGCAGTCGTCTTGGGTGGCGACCTGAACGGTCATGTGGGTGAGGCGTGCGAAGGGTTCGAGCGGGTCCACGGTGGCTACGGGTACGGCAGTCGCAACGCGGAGGGAGGAGACATCCTCACAACGTGTGCGGCGGCCGACCTCGCCATCGTGAACACGTTCTTTAAAAAGAACCCCGAGCATTTAATCACCTACAGGAGCGGCGGACACGCCACCCAAATCCATTTCCTACTCACCAGGAGACACCATATCAGCAAAGTGGCCAACTGCAAGGTCATACCAGGTGAGAGTCTCACTGCGCAACACCGTCTTCTTGTCATGGATCTCTGCGTAAAGCCGGCCGACAAGCCCGCTGAGCGCTGCCGACGCCAAATGAGATGGTGGCGGCTTGATAGTACCACGTCTCAGGAGTTCATCTCAGCGATCGGCGATAAATGCGCCGACACTGAAGGTGATCTAGTCCAGAACCACTGGGACAACATTCATGCTGCCATATCTGAGGCGGCGAAAGCGGTGCTGGGCTTGTCCAAGGGTGGTCGCAAATGTGACAAAGAAACTTGGTGGTGGAACGACACAGTCCAGAGGGAGGTGAGGGTGAAGAAAGCCCTCTTCAAAACGTGGCAAACGTCCGGATCTTCTGAAGACCGCGATGCATATAGGGATGCCAAACGTGCCGCTAAGAAAGCTGTAGCCAGAGCTAGACGGGACTACTTGCAGCCGTTGTACGACAAGTTGGAATCGTCTAAGGGGCAGAAGGTTATCTTTAAGCTGGCACGTTCGAGGGTCTTAGCGGCACAAGATATTTCCAAGTGTCGCTGCATTAAAGACCCTCATGGCAACCTTATATGCGAGGTCGACGCGGTGAAGGAGAGATGGCGCTCATATTTCCGCGAGCTGCTGAATCAGCAGCACAGAGAGGTGCAGCCACCGGTCCTCCCTCCGAATCAGGGACTAGTGCGACCGACAACGCCTGAGGAAGTCCACTTAGCTCTTCGTCGCATGAAGAATCGGAAAGCTGTCGGAGCCGATGGGGTTCCCATCGAGGCCTGGAAGGCAATGGGTCCCCGTGAGCATCCTTACGGGCCTCTTTAATCGCGTGCTCCTTACCGGTAAAATCCCTAACCAATGGAGACTGAGTATTATCACTCCAGTCTTCAAAGGGAAGGGATCGGTGCAGGAGTGTGGCGATTATCGGGGCATAAAAGTTATGTCTCTCACCATGAAGCTCTTCGAGTGTATAATAGACTCTCGGATCCGACAGGACAGTGCTGTCTCGGAGGGTCAATATGGGTTTCGGCCTGGTCTTGGGACCATGGATCCTGTTTTTGCCCTAAGGGTCATCATGGAGAATACAGATTGAAGAATACGCCTCTGCATTTCATGTTTCTTGACATGCAGAAGGCCTTCGACTATATCCCCCGTGTCAGAAACTCCCGCATCCGCGGCAGCCTTCACGTCCGTGACATTGCAGATAAACTGCAAGAAAGCCGCCTACGTTGGTACGGCCACATCTTACGGAAACCGGCATGCTACATGGGAAACAAATGTCTGGCTATGCCACCTCCGCCGGGCCCCGGTAGAAGGGGCAGACCCAAGAAGTGCTGGCTTGACGTCGCCAAGGGTGATATGCGTGCCAATGGTCTCACCACTAAGGATGCCGAAGACCGTACAAAGTGGAGGAGAAAAAGCAGGAAAGCGGACCCCGGGCTCCGCAGCAACACTGCTGAGGACGCAACCGGGACAACGCTCAGATGAGAGAGAGAGAGAGAGGACGAACAAGTCGTGCGTCTGATAGTAAGCTACACGTCTGTCCATGACAGTTGCAGTGTCACTCACAGCTTCAAATCGCAAAGATCTGAGCGGCACTGCCACTGCGCCCGTCACCCTGAGACATAAGTTGACAAGTCCCATGTGCCTGTAATTTTACCAACGCCTAAGGGTAAGCCCTTCCAAACCGGAACACAGTAATGCTAACATTACTGCTTGGCGGCAGAAATAGGTAAGGTGGCAGTACTTCTCTAGACGAACTCTTTCACAAGGAGCTCTACTGTTTATTTAATATGCATTGTACTCAGTACAATGTAACACTTACTAATCAGACAAAAACACACATGTTATGAAACATACATTATTACGTAAACACACATTATTATGACAAAAACAAAATACAAAACTTAAAACATTTCTTCTTTGAGAACTAAGTTAAAATAAATAAAAATATTTTTAAATAGTCACACAAAAATAAACCATATCAATAAAAGAAATTACATAAAAATAAACAGAAGTTCTTTAGGGAGCGCGATATAGTCGAAATCCACGCAGACGAGGCCGCGTGCTCGAGTCTAGTAATAATGATATCCCTGTGATGTCCCTTGTCACCCCGCTATCCCAACTCACCCCATTCTAGTACGGGACGTTGAGAAAAAAGCCATCCATATAATGTTACACATGATGTATAACATGTACATGTATATATATTTTTTTCTAACAACGATGTTTATGTTTATTTTCCATACTTACTTCATACACAATCATACTTCAGGCTACATCAAGGTTACATTGTGAAAAAACACAGTCATTTGCATGAAAATTCAACTATTAATTAATTAACTGCCTCCGTGGCCGAACGGTTACCATGCCGGACTGCCACGCAGAGGTCCCAGGTTCGATTCCCGGGCCGGGAAAAATAGTTGTATGGCCTACAATTATTTCTCTCGTGAGCTTGGGTGTAATTTGTGGTTGTCTATGTGTGTGTCCATGGCACCCGCGACACAGGGTTTCCCTAGTGCGGGGCTATGTTGAGTGTGTGCGTTAAAAAAAAATTTAAAAAAAAAAAAAATAATGCAATAAATTTATGCAAATATTACTAATGTATAACATTTTCTTGATTCATTCAAGAGATACAGGGCACATCAAGATTGAGTTGCAGCGCGCGCGCTTCGCGGGTAGATCTGTTGGCTCCGTCCGCCCATACCTTTAACAGTGCTTGGTTTAGCGTCTAGCGTCTGTTTGCGATTTCGACGTGTGGATCTACCCGCTCGTAGCGTAGCGTAGTACGTGAGTGGGTATAAGGCTTTAGGGTGCGTGTGGACGCTTAGAGGATGGAAAATAGTCTACGGTGTGCACGTCACATTAATCAGATAGCTGTCAGTGTCAATGTCAAAATGTCAAAGATCTCTCTCGGTCTCATGCGTTTCAAGAAAACACGTGCGATTTAGTGTGTTTTTGGGCAAACGAGCGGGTAATTTCTGTATTTAGTGTAAAATTTTACGTCAAACGGTTCTGTACCAAAAGTACAAAATAAGTCATTAACATGGGCCGCAAGGCAAAATTTGACGAAACCAATAAAGTGAAAAAAGGACCCGGGAGAAAAGCTCGCAAACAACCTGATCCAATTTTTCCAAAATCTCTTTGTGAGTATTTATCACGTGTAACACTTTTTAAGTATTTTATATTTTAGTTGTTGTATGGTCGGATGTCGCAATGAAGACTTATATTTTTTAATAGAATATAACCTATAAATGACGGCAAGTACAAAAAAGCAACTCTTCACCATTGTCATTAGCCTGGCCAAGCACTACACATGCACAATATACTCTGGATAAAAATCCAGGGACAACAAGTTTATATTATTGACACATTGTTTAAAGTAGGCTTTTTATTCACTAAAGGTACCATATCTAGAAATCATTATTTGTTAAACTCGTATAACATTAGCAAAAAGCAAATTGCCAAATTCTAATCGCTGTAAGTAACGGTAATAAAGATTACCAAGTTTTTCAAGAACATATTAACCATAGTGGATCGTTTTGTAACAATATTACAACTACATATGACTACATTTAAAGTTAATGTTTTTAACCCCAACTTTAAGTGCAAGAAGACAATGACCAGAAGAAGCTAAGTCACCGACAGAAGCAGCGTGTTGCTAGACGTGCCAAGAAAAAACTGGTACTTGCAGAGAAGAGGAAGGCATTAAAAGTAACCAAAAAGAATGTTGCTAAGGAACAGCAAGAGGTTGTAAGTGAAGATAGTGAAAGTGAATTGGAAGAGAAAACTATGCAAGGTATTTACAACGCAATAAAATTACTCTGACCAGCTAAATTCTTAAACCTTATAAGTTCCAGTAATGTGAAATTTTGCGTAGGCTCAAAAACAGAATTACTAGAAATAATTTATTTGACAATCCATGATTACACCTTTGTTTTATATCTCACAAAGGGTCTACAAATTATATTTTAAGCTTTATTGGCCCCATATTGCGCTTGAAGAGTTTAAAAGGGATTTCATCCAAAAATGGAGTCACGCAGTTTTCAAAATTATCCGATGAGGTACATTTGTTTTATTTTATCTGAAAAGCTTTAAAATTCCAGTTTTATTTATATCTATACTATATTACTACAGTCTCTAACCATGTTTAGTCTCGGTACACTGTCTTTTGCAACGGCCAGCTGTGCGTTATATAAGTATTTAGGTTTTTGTTGTATTAAATGTATTGCCAGAAACCATGAATGACTCAAGTCATTTTATTTAAAGAATAGTTTATTAGTTTGAAGTTACACTGAAAATTTTATTTCATCTTATATCAATTCTATGAAAACTTCTATATACATAACATTGAATATTTCAGGATTCACAGATGATAACAGTGAATGGTTGAAGCCAAAAGTAAAGGGTAAATTCAAACATCCAGAGCCAGTGAGTGAAAGTGGCAGTGGCCATGATGAAGACTCAGAGGAGCTGGAAAGTGGTAATGAGAGTGGCCAGAAGAAAGGTAGAAAAGGCAGTGAAAAATATAAGGTAAATCAATGTTTTAAAACTTAACTTGAAACTTTAGAAAACACTTGTAGCAGAACCTTTTTTCTACTTGCTTTATTTTGTAAGTTTTGAAAATAGAACTGTAAATAGTTTTTTCTCAAGTTACAAATTGCTCTCTTTAGTTGTTTTATTATTCCCTCACTTTGTTTGAGAAAAGCACTATAAACTATATGCCTTGGTGGGAACAGGGACTGCTTGACTCGTGTTAATACAAGGCCGAGCACCAGTGAGGCAATCCCTTACTTCCCGTCCTCTGCAATAATGTACTAATAATTAGCTACTGGGGTAATGACAACTCTATATAATATTTAATATGTACTTAATTATAGTGGGAATCTAATTCAATGACCAAAATGTAAACAAAGAGAATAACCGAGCAAAAAGATATTTTAAATGCCAGTTTTCTACTTTAGATGGTAATAAACGATTAAAACTCTTTTCAAGCTGTAATCTGAATTCACACTTATATAGTTTTTCTTAATTTCGTTTAATACATTAACAAATTATAATCTCTCTCTATAATAAAAAACTGTATTTAAGGTAGTAAATAATTTTATGACACTGGTAACACAATAGCAATCAAAAATATTATTTGTGCTGCCATTAGTCATGTTCGTTTGTTAAATTATTGTGTGTTGTTGTTAAAGTTTTTGTATTGTTAAAATTTTGTAATAGGTAATTAAATTTGTAGAAAATAAGAACTTCCTTTTTTTTCAATTCCATTAAAAATAAAAGGCTTAGCACACCTGCATTCACACTTTGATTATGACATGACATTTCTTTGTTTACATTTTGGGCATCTAAGTATGATTCATACTATACAATACATACAATAGTTATAGTACTGTACACCATGTTGACATTTTAAATGCATGATGAAAATTAGTTATGCAATAAATATCATTAATATTATATTAGGAATTGGAACACCCGTACATCTCCTTATTTACTTAGATAGATGAATTAATTTTTTTTTTTTATTGGTACCTCAGAAGGATTATACAGATAATATACAAAAACACTGATTACTCAGAAACATCACAAACTGAAAAATGATAGGGTCTGTTGATTGTGAATTGATTAGAATTAAAAAATTATGTTTCCAAGAAAAAATAATTATGTATAGCAATTTTTTTTGTAAAATGCGTTCCTATATTTCATTCATGATTTCGATATGTAAAGTTTAAATTTAGTTTGCCTCATCAATTATTGTGACTGTTGCTGCTTTCAGGTTGGTACCCTAGATGACTTATTTCAAGATTCAGACCAGGAGAATGGAGATGTTACCTCAGAAGATGAAGGAGCAGCTACTAAGCTGGAATATGACTCAGATTCCAGCTTAGGAGATAAAGGGAGTGACAGCGATGACGTCGATAATGACATGTTGCCTATTGAAAAAGCCAACTTAAAACTTAAAGAGAAACGGAAAATGGATAAAAAGCTTGCAGATGAAGAAATGCAGTTAAACATTTCCAAGCAAGATGTTTTTGCTTTCCCAAGTGAAGAGGAATTACTAAACCCAGCTAGTTTGCAGGAAGTCCATCAAAGAATAAAAGATGTTGTAACAGTCTTAGGTGATTTCAACCGCCTTAAAGCAGATGGGCGATCACGATGTGAGTATACAGAGCTGTTGCTTAAAGACCTGTGCACTTACTACAGTTATAACGAATTTCTCATGGAAGTGTTAATGCAGATTTTCCCAGTTCAAGAATTAGTGGAATTTTTGGAAGCTAGTGAAGTTGCTAGGCCAGTCACAATCAGAACTAATACTTTAAAAACTCGGCGGCGGGAACTGGCCCAGGCACTGATCAACAGAGGTGTTAACTTAGACCCTGTTGGCAAGTGGAGCAAAGTGGGGCTGGTGGTGTATAGTTCTACAGTTCCAGTTGGTGCGACACCAGAATATTTGGCTGGTCATTACATATTACAGGGTGCTTCCAGTTTCTTACCAGTTATGGCTTTAGCTCCACAAGAAAATGAAAGGATACTTGACATGTGTGCTGCACCTGGTGGAAAAGCATCTCATATTGCGGCGATTATGAAAAATACGGGCTCATTATTTGCTAATGACGCTAACAAAGAGCGAACTAAGGCAATTGTTGGTAACTTCCACAGGTTAGGTGTAGTAAATGCAGTAATTTGTAACTATGATGGTCGGCAGTTCCCTGATGTAATTAAAGGATTTGATAGAGTTTTGCTTGACGCTCCTTGCACTGGTACTGGTGTGATAGCAAAGGACCCTAGTGTGAAAACTACTAAAGACCAGAAAGATATTCAAAGATGTTTTAATCTGCAAAGACAACTTTTATTAGCTGCTATAGATTGTTGTAATGCCAAGTCGAGCACTGGAGGGTATATTGTGTATTCTACTTGCTCCATATTACCCGAGGAAAATGAATGGGTAGTCAACTATGCTCTGAAGAGGAGGAATGTAAAACTGATGCCTACTGGACTAGACTTTGGTACGGAAGGGTTTGTCAAATATAGACACCACAGGTTTCACCCGTCATTGAAGTTGACGAGAAGATTCTACCCACATACACATAACATGGATGGATTTTTTGTGGCAAAGCTGAAGAAATTCTCGAATGTTATTGTAAGTTTAAGCTGTCTGTTTATTATAGTGTTTTCTTTAACTGTGTTCAAGTAGTATGGGAATGTGGTACTATAATGATACATAAATATTACGTTATTGTTTCAGCCTGAGCCAGTGAAAGAAGAGGAAGACGAAGAAGTGGAAGAGAACGAAGAAGGCAAAGTTAACGGTGATGCAGACCCACAGGAGAAAAAACAAAACGATGTGAAGAAACAAGTGCCTATGAAGCGGTCCGCCGAAGCAAATAAATCAGCACCAATGAATAAGAAGAACAAAGGAGAACAAAATAAGTAAGTGTATCTTTTGATGTACGTATTTTTATGGTATAACGTAGTTGCAATTTCACACATTAGTGTGAGGGGCTCTTTTTATTATATGTTGCCTTTCGCTCTCAAGTTGCGAGCGGCATCCCATACTAATCGTGCTATGTATGGACAAACTTGATGTTCATTGGTGAGTGTGACTTGATCCTAAACCATACCAAATAATTACCTTCTATTTCTGATTATAGCATTGCATACAGAGTATTTTATGATCCATCCATAATTTCAAAGCAGTATGTAACCTAATAACCATTAATTGATTTTAGGGAAACATCTACCCAAAGTCCATTTACCACTGAGAACACAATGTTGCCGAAGAAAAATAAAAGCAAGAAGAATAAAAACAAAGGTATGAAAAGTGACAATGTTGTTGTGAACACTGTAAATGCAGCTAAACAGAAAGCACCATCGTTAAATACTAAAAATAAAAAGAATAAACAGAAACCTAATTCAGGAGCACCTACATCAACAGGTGATAATATTCATTTGAATACAAAAGAAAAACATTATGTATCTTCTCCAATGAAACATAATATACTGACACCAACAGTTGAAACTACTGCTAAAAATCAGAGTCCTAATAAAAAGAAAAAAGATAAAAAGAAAAATAAATCTAAAGACAATCCACATAAACAAATAACTAAGAATGAAGATAAAATTACAGAGACAGTAGAGCTCACAGCATCAAAGAAACTTAAAAATAAAATTAAACAGAGAAAACAAATTGGTCAGTTAAATAAAGGTAAACACCAAGTAAACAAACAAGGTATAGGAAATAAGACGAAAAAGAAATTCCAACAGAAATGACGAGTAAGCTGTGCTTCATGTTAATAAAATGATTACTTTTAAACTATTGTTTTTGTTGTAGCATTATATTTATAGGATTAGTAGGAACAGTTATGGAGAGTGTGTACTGAAATTATATGAAGTTTTATTGTGACGGTTATTTATTAAAAAGGGCCAAACATATAAACAAACCTAAGCCTGGCTAATTACTTTTGGACCTTGGAATAGTGAGGTAGTGGCACTTTTGACTACCAAGTTCGTGTTTTGCGTAGAATAAATTAATGCTTTAAAATTCCAAAATCAATGTAGTCAGGGTTGACTCCTCTTGCCAACGTGAGACACGTGTCGTGCATGGGATGTCGGTCATGCTTTTTCGTCAGTTACGAGTCCAAATAAAACATGTTGTATGAAGACAATGTTGAAAAGTGTTGACAAGTGACTATGTAAATAGGGCGCACTATAAGTTTCCGGAACTGGCCACTTATAAACAATATTTAAAAAGTAATTACAATATTTGAAAATGGAACTCTTTGGCTGTAGAATACAGTTTGATTCATCAAACCGTGATCAGTCAACCGTGACCATGGGAGCTGTAAAGGGCCCGAAACGTCGGTTTGTTTGAAAAAACAAATATACGCGACTTAAATCCGGAAAAATAGTTTCATTTCCTACAGTTTGATTCATCTGACCGTCCCTTGTTTTTACATTGTGGCGTCATTTTAGAAATTGATTGTCTACATCATCATGGATTTAACTCGTGAAAATTTTCGTAATATGATTTTCTACGACTTTAAGTGTCGTATTCCAGAACTCTACTCAATACTCAAGTCAGGACTTGAGCATTGCAGTGAGCACTGAAAATCATACTCAAGGCCTTGCCATTAGGGTCGTATTTCCAGTGCTTGAAATCATACTCAAGTCTGTTCAAATCCTGACTTGAGCATTGAGTAGAGTTCTGGAATACGAGCATTAGTGTAATTTAACAGCTCAGCGGAGCTTCGCTCGGTTTCAAACTGATTTTGGCGATGAAGCACCATGCATACCGACTATTTGTAGCTGGTTTGCAGAATTCAAACGCGGTCGTGTGAATCTCAGTGACGAATTTCATGATGATCGCCTGTTCACTGCTGTGAACAACAAAAACATCGATGCTGTGCGCTGTTTGATCAAAACAGATAGGCATATGCATGAGTCAATTACAATCAATATTACACAAACATTTGGGTGTGAAAAAGCTGTGCTCTCAGTGGATCCCACACAATTTAACTGAGGCTCAAAAAACGGATCGCGTCACTTGGTGCAATGCCATGCTTACCAGATTTAACGAAGGGGCATCAAATTTGGTGTGGGACATAGTAACAGGTGACGACACATGGATTTATAGTTACGATCCCGTACAAAGTGCCTCTAAGCGGATGATTGCTTCTTTTTTAAATAAAACTGGACACGTGGTTACTGTTGCTTAGAGAATCGTTGTTCCGTGAATAGTGATTGGTACACGACCATTTGTTTGCCGGAAGTTATTGACAAACTCTGTATCCTCTTGCACCACGATAATGCCAGTTCTCACTCGGCCAGACAGACAAATTAATTTTTGAAGGTGAACAACGTTGACCTTATGAGCCATCCCGCGTACAGTCACAAGGTGCCAGGTCGGGACCTGGCACCTTGTGACTTTTATTTACTTTCAAAAATTAAGAACCAGTTACGCGGTCAACGATTTTCATCACCTAAAGAAGCTGTCGAAGAATATGAACAATATGTTTCTGAGATTGTCACGGAGGAGTGGCATAAATGTTTTCAAAATTGGTTCATTTGTATTAATAAGTGCATTAACGCCAAGGGAGAATATTTTGAGAAACAATAAATTAATTTCTGACCATTTATAGTATTTTTTTCTTATTCATTTCGGAAACTTATAAGTATTTTAAATCTTTGTGGATATTCTACGCTCTGTCGCAAAGCTGGTCTTGACCACCGAAATTAGAAGACTCCACTGCGGTCTGTTTTAAGCTATTTTCTGCTATACTCCATAACTGACGAGAAAAGTATGATGCTAGACTCTGGTGTAATAAGTTCTACGTATAGGCCATCTGTCGAAAAGGAGCACCGTATACCTAGTGGTTTGGACAAAATGGTCTACACGACAACTCCTTCGTGGTGATGACAAACTAAAGCGAGTATAATATTAAATGATACCTTTTATCTGTTGTCTGGATTATATTTTTACTTTAACTTAATTTTTTGTATTCGCTCAGGGTCGTATTCCAGAACTGTACTCAATGCTCAAGTCAGGATTTGAGCAGACTTGAGTATGATTTCAAGCACTGGAAATACGACCCTAATGGCAGGGACTTGAGTATGATTTCTAGTGCTTTAAGTCATACTCAAATCCTGACTTGAGCATTGAGTAGAGTTCTAGAATACGACTCTTAGCCCCGCACTAGGGAAATCCAATATCGTGGGTAGGTGCCGTGGACACACACAGACAACCACACATAACACCCAAAATCACGAGAAAAATGTAGGCCATATAAATATGCCCGGGTATAGAACCCGGAACCTCGGCGTGGCAAATCAACATGGTAACCGTTCGGCTACGGAGGCAGTTCAACTCAGACATTCATAAATTGAAACACTGAAGTCTTGATAATGATTGGATTGGTCGTAGTTTCAAATTTAAAAAGAAATAAATTCTGTTAATATACACACATCAAAAGTGTCTAGGGATCAAGTACGTTTAAGAGTATT